ACCTTGACCTGGAAGACAGGGACCTGATGTCCTGTATCAAGGTAACCTACTTAGTAGATGAGGGAAAGACTGTGAATGATGTCTACCTGGACTTTAGTTAAGCCTTTAACACCTACTTCCCACAACATTCTCCTGGAGAAACTGGTTTCCCATGGCTTGAATGGGTACACTGTTTGCTGGGTACAAAAATGACTGGATGGCTGGGCCTAGAGGGTGGTGGGGAATAGAGCTGAATCCAGCTATGGGCCAGTAACCAGTGGTGTTTCCCAGGGCTCAGTTTTGGGCCAGTGCTGTTTAATATCTTTATTGATGATCTGCACAAGAGGATCAAATACACCCCCAGTAAGGTTACAGATGATGCTAATTTGGGAGAATTGTTGATTTGCTGGAGGGTAGGAAGGCTCTGCAGATGGATCTGGACAGGCTGGATCGATGGCAGTGCCAGGTTAACAGTTGTACTTGACCTTAAAGGTCTTTTCCAATCTAAAAGATTCCATGATTCTATACCGGAAGGGCAAGAGATGCTGGGAGATAGACTGCAGCCTGCTGTTTACTGCCAGCCAGCTCTGACAATACCTTCCCCTCGATGACAAAAGCATGTCCCTTATAGTAAATAAACTCTTAAATGGGCCCTTTGCAAAGCCAGCAGCTGTGACGTGTGGGAGAGCTGAAGAGCACGTTGTGTGACTGCTCACACATCCGCTCCCTCTCTGGAGAAGCAGGGCTCTCCTTTCTACTCTATTAATCCCTGGCCTATTTTCAAACATTTTGGTGCATTTTGTAACTTAAGTCTCTTCCCTCTCTCTCTGCTGTACCACTATCCTTCAGCAGGGGCCTCACCTTAACCTGAGCCCCAGGGGAGGTTGCACGGTCTGGACACAGCTTCAGAGGCAAGGCTGAGGCAGGCACAGCCCTGACACCCCACAGCAACGTGATATGCACCCATAGGCGATGCTGCCCAGTGGGAATTGCTGAACAACTCGGGACGTGAGGCACTTTGGGAACAACCAGTCCTCAAAGGATGCTTGAGTCTCATTTCCAAGTGGGGATCTGCACCCAGACCCCGTTCCCTCTGCCAGCTCCCCATGCACTTCCACATCTCCCTAGTGCCAGAGCAAGCTGAAGGTTATATTTCCAAGCCTGGCTACCCAGAAACCAAAAGCTCTCCAGGAATGCTCCCAAGAGGCAAAGGACTAGCATAACTCAGGAGCTTTTAATGCTCTGGCTGTTTTGGAGGATGAGGCAAAGACAGCTCCTGATGTGAAAGCTGCAGCTGCCCAGATCACAAGCAGGACCTACAGCGAGGGCAGTATTTTGTAACAACACAAAAGCTGTGTTTGCGATCTCCATCTCAACTAAGACTTTAAAAACAATTACAATCTCTTTGGCCAAAGTGGCTAAAGGCAGTGAACATAATGCCAAACTCGAGTCAGCTGCACGCACAGACACCTGGGGGTCATATCCCACCCATTTCCCCACTGACATGGGTGGGCAGTATCCCTCTCATCATCTACCCACCTTTGTGGCAGTGGTACAAGGTACAAGCCAGCAGCACAGCAGGTAGCCTGCTCTGTTTGCAATAACAATTTGGTGTTTATCACTGTGTGTTTTATCAGATGTATTTAACCTGAGCCAACTCTCTGCTAGTTTAAATCCTAAGTACCCTTAAAGTCCAATTTAACAGCCACTTCTGACTTCAATGCTCCATTTTTTAATGCCTAGCATGTATCTATAAAACTATCTTTGTAGTGTAAAATATTTCAACAGGCCAAAGCTTGCCTTTTCCAACCATGAAACAGGAAAGATGTGTCAGGTTTGGTTTTGGTTGTGCCATAATATTTTTTCCTCCAATATTTCTCTCTTTCAGTTCCAGCTGCCCCCAGAACTGCACAGTTTATATTTTAATAATGTTACCTTAGAGGAGAGAAATCAGTTCTTCAACACTCAGACTCCACTGCAAGCCTGAGGTTTCCTAACACTGTAGCTGAGCTTTGCAGTACCAAGGTCAACTGCCCAGTGCAAACAGCCCAACATCCCCTATCCCTTACACATCCAGGTGCTCTGGATGCTGGAGTGGATTTACATTCAGTTACTTGCTCATCTCTCAGTTTTGGCTACACAAAGCCACAACATCTGAAGTATAAACAGAGGCAGCCAAACAAATAGAGAGATTATTTGGACAACAAAGTCCTGGTCCACAACACGTGTTACTGAAGTGCCAATAATTAACAACAGTGAAAATACAGACCCCAAGATGTGGACAGGGGATTTCTTTGTGCCAGAGGGTCCTGTCCCAAAGCTGGTGAGAGTTTGACCACTGAGCCTGTTGGAGGCTGGCTAACCCCTCAGTACTGTGGGGCACCTCCTCCCTGTGTACCCTTGCTACCTGCCAACCCACACTGCCCCCAGATATTGCAAAATAAAAGTGACTGGCAAGATTCAAAATGCAGGAGACAGAACAACACAGGAGATATTGATCTCTACAATCAAGAGGTTAATTGTCACTTCCCCTCAATACTACATAATAATCACGGCCTGCACTGTTGTAAAGTGCATCTCCAGTTCCAGTGTGAGTACCTACACTGTGTGTACCTACACCGACTCCACATCACACCAGCCTGTCACCTTTCAGTCCTTGTGCAGTATGAAGCAAACAGCACCTGACTGGCAGTCCTGGTCCTGTGCTGGGTCTCCCCTGCTCGGGCAGCCTGTTAATGTTTATCTGAGGAGCTGACCTGGGGCCTCACACACCACACCGTTAGATCACACCCTTCCTTTGCCTGACTGGCGGCTCAGAGGGCTTGGGGCACTGCTGACATACCTCCCAAGGCAGCAGGTGAGGGCACAGACAGGTGCAGGCAACAAAGCAGCGAGGCAGGAGGGAAGGACTCAGCCAAATTCCCTGCCTCTGCTGTAGTGCTGAGCTGCAAAGGCAGCAAGTGGAGCTGAGTCAGAGGAGAAGAGGGCTTTTACAACTGTTCCTCCTTCCTAACACCCTTTTCAAGCAGGATCAGTACCACTCTGGGAAAAAAAAGAAGGGAGCACTAGGAGTTTCCAGACCCCAGCCCCGTACAAGCCAGGTGGGGTTTTACCATGAGGGATGTGAGAGCTCATGGAGTTTGTCCCCACACCTTGCAGCAGCATCAGAGACCATCAGTAATGACACCCCCTCCTGCTCCCTGCCGTTCGGGGAGGGGGGGTGGGATTCCCCTCCAGCATTCCCTGGGGTCGCCCCTGACAGCACCAGTGCTTGGGGCAAGTCCTTCTCAGAGCAGCCAAGAGAGCCAAGGCCACACGGGGACTGCAAAAAGGTGTCGGTAACCAGAAACCCTGCTCCACCCCCCTCCCAGCCTCCAGCCTCCCCAGGACAGCGCACAGCTCTGCTCCAAAGCCCCTCTGCCTTCTGCACCGGGGGGTACCAGCCTGGGGGGTCTCAGCTCCGGGCTGGTCACCCCACTGCGTTTGCAAAGCTAGTTCTGCCACGGACCCAGCGACATCCAGACCCACCCACTGACCACGGCCCAAGTAGCAACGCAACGAACACCCCCGTAGTGCGGGGAAAGCGCGTGGAAATGCGGGGGATCCACACACGGGAGGTGCCCGAGCGTTCCCCCGCGGGACACCACGGTCCCACGGAGTGCCGGCAGGACCCGCGGGCACCGTTTCCTCGCACCTCTCCCGAGTGTTTCTAAAAGGACCCCGCGGTTGCACAACCTCCCGGCCCGCGGGTCCAGCCTGTCACACAGCACCGCGATTGCAGATGGGGGGGAGCTCCATTCCCCCCTTCCCCAGCCCAAACTGCTGCTTCCGTCCAGCTAGGGACTCCCAGAGAACCAGCCCTCGATAGCAGTGCGGTCCTGTCCTGCCGCCCAAACCTGCCCGCCCGTGTCTGCCGTGCCCCGCCAGCCCTGCCCGCCCGCCGCCAGCTCCGCAGCGCGGGGACACCAAGGCACCGCCTGTTACACGGGGAAAAAAACCTCCACAACCAACCCAACAGACCTGCAGCCGTCCCACGGTCGGAGCTGAGCTGGATACCATGGAAAATAAAAACCCTCCTCCCCTTCCCTCGGGCTCACTGTCATGTGAGACTTGTAGTTAAACAAACTGGGTGCTTTAAAAGCTTTTGGTTGGATGCAGAACGATGGTCTGTGGTTGCAGCAGCATGTCACCCGACTTCCCAGTATAACATTCCTGAGTCCCACAGTCACAGGCTCACATTTTAGGCAAATAGTCCATTTATTCCTATTATTATTTCAGCAGAAAGTCCTATAGTGCTTGGCAAAAAAAGCATTCGCAGTTTCTGGGCGTTGATAAAACTGTCCCGCTGCCGACCACAGCCGCGGCCGTGACCCAGCCCTGCGACTCGCGCTCAGCCCCACTCCCAGCATCCCTTCCCCGCTATTTTGCCGCAGAGTGCCACCTCCGCACAGTCCCCCGGGCTGGACAGCACTGGCACCACCGCCCGAGATGCCCACCTGGCCGGGGGGGGCTTCCCACGGCCACCGACTCGGTTAAGAGAAGAGAATCAGGAGGAGTCCCGCGAGGCACCCGGTTCCTCTGCGGGGCTGCCGCCGGGGCAGGGGGGGTCCAGCCCCAGCCCTGCTCCCGCCGCCCCGCACGGTTCTCCCGCAGCAGCACGGCTCTCTCCGGCTGCTCACAGCAAGGTCATGAGGTAGTTCAACACCGGCCGCGGCCAGAAACTCCTTCCGAGAACGTGCATTCTGCACAGACTCATCCCTCTGACCCCACTTAAGGGACCCTTGGTCGTGCCCCTAACCAGGGAGGCCGCCAGCAGCCCACCTGCCCTAGCCGGAGCCAGCCCCCACTTGCATAAGGCTTGAGTTTGAGGTTTCTCACAGCCATTAGATTTTAGGGGCGCTCTAGAAGAGGATCACTATTATTATTAAGGGAGGAAGTTGATTTTCCTTAGAAAGACTCCTCTGTACAACCACTGTGTGCCACATCAGAGCCCACAGTACCCTACCCGCTAGGCACAGTACCTTTGCAGTGCAAAAAGTCCTCGGGGTGAGGGAAGGAACCCTCTTCACAGAGCAAGTCGCAGGTTTTATCCGGTGCCAGGGGGTAGCCGTTTTCCTCCTCGTTGTAGTCGCCCCTGTCGTTGCTGTTGGAGTAGCCGTTGGCATACATCTTCAGGGCAGACCTGCGGAAGCACAGGAGCTCCTGGAAGGCGTACCTGAAGTCCGGGCTCCGGCAGTAGATCAAAGGGTTGAAGGCAGAGTTGACATAGCCCAGCCAGTTCAAGAGGATGTACACGTACTTGGGAATGATGTTGTCCTGGATGACGTGCACGATGTTGACAATGAAGAATGGCAGCCAGCACAGCGTGAAGGTGCCCATGATGATGCCCAAGGTCTTGAGGGCCTTGTGCTCCTTCAAGAACTTGGAGGCACGGCGGTACCCAGCTCCCCCTTTCTGCTCCTGCTCCTTGTTCTGGGTGTGAAACCTCCCCTCGCTCCTGTCTATCTTCTGCAACTGCTTCTTGGCCACCTGGAAGACCCTGGCATACACGAATACCATGATGATGAGTGGCACGTAGAAGGAGATGATGGAGGAGGCAATGGCATAGGCTTGGTTGGTGAAAAAGTCACAACATGTGTCCTTCTCATAGCACTGGATGGCCTCTGCATGGTCTGCCCGGTACCAGTGCATTTGGATGGGCAAGAAGGAGGTGAGGGCTGAGACCACCCACACGATGAGGACAACCATGCGCGCCTTGCTCTTAGTCAGCAGGCTCTGGTACTTGAAAGGGGAGGTGATGGCGAAGTACCGGTCCACAGCAATGACACAGAGGGTCTCAATGCTGGCCGTGACACAGAGCACATCCAAGGAGGTCCAGAACTCACACCAGAAGTTCCCAAACTGCCACATCTCCATGATGATGTGGCAGGCGCCGAAGGGCACCACGGCCAGCCCCATCACCAGGTCAGCACAGGCCAGCGAGGTGATGAAGTAGTTGGTGACAGTCTGCAGGCGCTGGAACCGGGCGATGGCAGTGATCACCAGCACGTTGCCGAAGACGGTGGCCAGCACGATCAGAGACATGAGGATCCCCATGCCCACCATCCACACGTCCCGCGACACCGTGGGGTCGGCGGCGCTCTGGTTGGCGCTGACGTTGCCGCCGGGCAGCTCGGTGCCTGCCACCGCCATGGCCCGCCAGCAGCCCCCCGGGGGCGGCGAAGGGCGCTTGGCTTTGCTTAGGGCTCCGCAGCGGCAGCGCTGCTCTGGGCGCAGCGCATACGGGATAGCAGGTGCGGGGACGCTCCCGCCGTGCGAACCTAGGACCGCTCCCGTCCCGTCCTGTCTGCCCCGTCCCGTCCCGTCCCGTCCCGTCCCGTCCCGTCCCGTCCCGCGCGCGGCAGCCGCCCGCCCTCGCGTCTCCCAGCCCGTTCGGCGCCGCGGAGCTTATAAAGTGACACCCGCCCGTGACATCAGCCCGCCGCAGCCAATGGCAGCCGGCACCCGCACCCCGAGCCCCCCCCGCACCCCCTGAGCTCCCCCTCCGTCTGCCCCACGCGTGTCACCGCTCCCCCCGACCACGCGTGCTGCATCCCTGCGGTGTACCGCGCCTCTCGCGCGCTGCCGGCACCGTGGGCTCCCCCTGCTCCAGGTGTGATCCCTCCCCTCGCGGTGTCCTCACGCTCTCCCCCGCCCACGCGTGTCCCCCAGGCACCCCCACGTGCAGCCTGCTGTGCACTGTCCCCGTGCCTCCCACTTACGCTGCCAAGCAAGCACTCCCTACCTCAGCAGTGTCCCTGCACCACAAATGCCCCCACACTCCCTGCCCCAAAGTGTCCCCACACCTCTCACCCCACCCACACACTCTGCATGTCCTGGGGTGTCACCAGGACACACGGCACCAGGAAAATCCTGAGGATGCTGAAGCTCACGGAGGCTTTGTCCCTGGCTGGGCACTGGAGTTTGGCTTTCCTGAGAACCCCCATCTTCACTGGTGACACCTCATGCCAGGTTGTCACCCGTGTCCCCATCCCTGACAGCCCCCAGCACAGCACTTTTACTGCAGTTTCACCCCCAGCTCAGCACCCCAGCTGGCACCCATGATGGTGGGGTGCATCCAAGTGCAGGAGTCACCACCCAGCCCCCAAAACCCCAGAGCTGATCAAAGGCACAGACACCCCTCAACTGTCCTGGGGGCACTGACAAGGCAGGGAGCTGTGTGACTGCTGCAGCCAGGCATGTGGTCAAACCCAGACTCTATCACAAGTATTTCCCTCCAAAACAAATAAATTTGCTAAGTAAGGACTAAGGAATCCTTAAAACTTCCTTTTAACCTAATGGGAGATAACACCACCACTGGAGTTTCATTTCTGCCCATGGCTCTGAAGTGGCACTGCCCAGCTTTGTGCTGCCCTCCCAGAGACAAATCATGCTGCCTGCTGGGCCTGGGGTGCTTGTGGAGTAGGCAGCGAAGCCTGAAACCTGTGGTTCTAGAATTGCCCTGTGCCATGGAAAGGTAGTAAAGAAAGAGTTGCTTTTGCCCAGATCTACCCCAATGCCACCACTGCACCAGCAGCAGCTGCAGGTCGGTGCCTCATTGGGTACAGAACTGTGACCCTCTCATGGCACAGGCAGTGGCAGAATCCCACCTTCATTAGCAATTAAACACTTACCAATGTAGAATTCTATTTGAAACACATCAGCTGCTGGGGTCTGATGGGTTTTCATGATTCTACCTCATTTTTCCCACATGATAAGGTGGTACCATGGTGCCAAGGGCCAGGTGCCAGCTGTGGCAGTGGGGCTGCACTGGGGAGCAGCCTTCACCCTGCCAGCCCCAACTGCACTGGGGATATTTATAGAGAAGAGCTGCATGTACAGAGAGGAAGTTTTGTGTTTTAAGACAGAGGGGCAAATGAGGTACTGGAATCAGGAAATGAAAGGCAGTTTCAGTGGCATGAGGTGTCTGTCTAGGCAGGGACCTTCCTGAACAAGTGGTTTCCCGCTCTTTCCACACACCAGTACTGCATCCACCATTTCAGAGGTTTTAAAAAGGCAGAGACTTGAACAGAGGATCCACAGGGCACCCCTTCCCACTGCAGACATCTGCAGCCTTTGGGAAAACACTGAGAGGAGCCACTGGTTTGGTGCAAATGACCTGAACTAATTACCAGGAGCTTCCTCTGCCCAAAGGATAAATGAGATAAATAGGGCTGTCCTCTCCCCCACACACCAACAGGTACAACTGTAACCCACTGGTGTTAGTCTGTAGAACTCCACTGACTTTCACAGACCTCACACCAGCTAAATGTGTGTGGCCCAGAGGCAGACACAGGCTCCAAGAGCACTTGCTAGGTGTCATATCCATTTTCAGCTCTGGTGAACACAGGTCTCTACACACTCTCTGCTCAGGGCCAGCAGCATTCACCTTTCAGGGGTAACATGCCAAGAAGCTGCTGGAAAAGCAGAGGTGCGGATGAGATGCAATAGTGAGAGTGTGGAGCAGAACGGGGAAGGAAAAGCAGAAGGTTTGGGAATTAGACATCATCCTCAGCTCCCTGTTCCCCCTTCTATTTTAATAACTGATCTGAAAGCTATAGAAAGCACTCGAGGTAAGTGTCTGGTAGTGACCCAGTGAGTTTGCTGTGCTGTTTCTGTGGGTTAGCCTAACAAATGGGAATACTCAGACACCAAGTCAAAGCATCCAGAAAGCATTAGGTCCCCTATCCTAGCAGACATACATATATTCATCCTGAGTCCTGACAGGAGGAGAAGCAGGTTTGGGGACTTGGTGGGAAAAACCAGCTCTGGAAGAATCAAAACTGAGTTCTCTGCTTCATAACAGGTGCTTTACCAAAGGCTTCTCTATGTCCTGCAGGTCTCTGGTAACAGTCCTGCATCTCTCTCCAGAAGCTCTGAAGGACTCTGGCAGTTTTTGTGGCCTGGGGTGCAGAAATCAGCCAGCCCAGTTTACAGCTAAATATATTTTCTTTGTTGTACTGTATCAAAAGAAACCTCAACCTCTGGTTAACAGGCTGTGGTGGAGTAAGAGGAGAAAGGCTGATTTTTCTTCCTTGATTTTGAAGCTCTTGCACGTGTTGGCAGTTCTTTCTCACCTATGTGAGGTGTGTTGGGGTGGGCCCATGTCTTGAGCTGATTTCTGCCCACAACAAGTGGGACAAGTGGCCACAGATTCAAAATAAAGGCAGGAATTTGCCACAAATGAAAACAAATTTCATCACCGGAAGTCTGAGTTGCTTTTGGGGTTTGCATGACTATCTGTGCTTTTGAGTAGTTCTTAACTTTTCAGCATTTTCAGCACATCTGCACCACTGACCCTGCTGCTTTGTCATCACACTGATCTTTTCACTTTTCGTAATTGGATGTGTGCTCCCTCCTCACTGAGTGACATTTGAAGAACAGCCTGTGGGATCAATGAGAAAGCAGGGTTGGTAGAAGGAGGTAATCACTTTTATTAGCCCAGCTGACATAATTGGAAAAAACAGCCAGGCTTTTGGGCATGGAAGACCTTCCCGAGGACTGTGACTAGCAGGATGCTGCCCTTAACCCCCCCTGCCCAGATGCTTATCACAAGCTGGAAAGCACAAAGCACTCTGATATTAAGCAGCTGGCCAGACCGGGCTCTTGGCAAGCGCTCGGAAGCGGCAGTCTCCAACACAGTGTTTGGCAGGACAGGAATTCGTAAAATTCCTTGCAGAGAACTGATAACTCACAGTGTTTGTCTGGTGTGTCACTGTGGGGATGGTCGTAAGGTGTCAGCAGCAGCCTGAAGGAGGGAAAGGTCCCTTGTCCTGTGGCCTGACTCGCACCAGCCCCTGCTGCAGGTGGGCTGCTGCCCACCCTGGCTTGAGCCACCCTGGGCACCCTTCAGACGACCTGGCAATGCCTGCTCAGAGGGGATTCACTCTATTTTCCCCCTTTTTACTGCTGCATTCCTTTGCCTGTGTGTAGCTGTGGCTGTCAGCACTCAGCAGTGCTGGGGCAGCTCACCAGCCCACAGGAGGAGGGATGGGAACACTTTCTGTGGATCACCTCTGCCTTCCCCTGGTGACCTAACTGCAGCCTTCCAGTGCCTGAGTGGAGCCCACAAAGAAGATGGAGACTATTTACACGGGTCTGGAGTGACAGGACAAGGGAGAATGGCTTTAAACGGAAAGAGTAGGTTTAGATTAGATATCAGAAAAAATTCTTCCCTGTGGGGGTGATGAGGCCCCAGCATAGTTGCTTAGAGAACCTGTGGCTGCACTATCCCTGGGAGTGTTCAAGGTCAGGTTGGATGGGGCTTGGAGCAACTTGGGCTAGTGGAAGGTGTCCCTGCCCATGGCAGGGGAGTGAAACGAGATGATCTTTAATATCCCTTCCAAACTATTCTGTGATTCTATGATTCTTTTGGCTTCCTCATGCTGCTTCAGAACAGCCTGGCAGAGGTCAGGGGGCTCTGGGCATTTTAGCTGTGGCAGCAGAGTGCAAGCTCCTGGTTCCCGATTTCTTTTCCTCTTTTACTCTCTAAGCCATGAGAGGGAGCCACCTCTGACTCACAGCTCCTCGTTAGTCTCTCCTTTGTGCTTGTTTGGAGCAATGGTGCAATCAGAAATTAGGGTTTGAGTGATAAAGTGGGGGGGGGTGGGGGGGTGGGGGGTGTGTGTTTTTTGCTCATTTCTCTCCTCGGGTTCTTTGCACGATCAGGTAGGAGTCCTGGGGTGTCTTCTTGCTCCAGGAGCCCGCAGTAGTAAGGAGTAGTCCAGGGCTCTCTTTGACACTCACCTGCATCAGGAGGGACAGCAGAAGAGATAGAAACACTCCTGACTCTTTTGAAGAGGGAGATGCTGCCACCTCTACCCTCGGGCATCCACCCCCAGGGACTGTGCCCATACTGTGCCCCACAGGGGAAGGGACAGTGAAGAGGATCTCCTCCACTCTGAGGGCTGCAGGTAGGTGTGAAATACCTGAGACGACACCTGTCAGGAGCATCCCTAACGCTTCCACAGATGCAACCGTCCCTCCATCATCCCTCGTGAGGGTACTGTGAAAGTGGGAAGGGAAAGTGAGCAAGGAAGAACCCCCTGCACCAAGGCAGGAGGATGCTCTGGTCCTCTCTGTACATCTCCCAGAGCATCTGCTGAGTGTGGGAGATCACAGCTATTAACCTCTGGAGTACCAGCACTTGTAGGGAGGCAGGTTTTTTTTCAGACTAGACCGAGGGAAAAGGAAACTGCTGAACATGAGCAATGACCCCGGCGAAAACTGAGGCACTTTATATGGAACATGATACTGGCTGGAACAGCTGAACACCAGAGATTCATTGTCTCTGGGCCAAATAGTGAACTGCTCTCCTGTAAATCA